GAGTGCAGTGGCGTAATCTCAGCTCACTGCAACTTCCGCCTACCAGGTTCAAGTGATTCTTATGCCTCAGCCTCCAGTATAGCTGGGATGACAGGCATGTGCCACCATGCCTGGCTAATTTTTGTATTTTTGGTAGAGATGGGGTTTCACCATGTTGCCCAGGCTGGTCTTGAACTCCTGGCTTCAAGTAATTGGCTACCTCGGCCTCCCAAAGTGTTGGGATTATAGGTGTGAGCCATCACATGCAGCCTGCAATTTCTTTTTATATACACACACTTAGGACAAAGTCATGAAGAGAAGCACCGTCCTTGCTTCTACGTGTGTTGATCAAGCAGGTGCTCCTTAGTTCATGGCTGAAGTGGCAGGAAGGGTAAGGTAAAGTAAGATATTAGTAGCCATGTTACTGCATGACCAGAGTGTCAAAATCAGAAGTCAGCGGGGGCAGCAATAGAAACATGGACAAGGCCAGGCGTGGTGGCTCATGCCTGGAATCCCAGCACTGTGAGAGGCTGAGGTGGGTGGATCACCTGAGGTCAGCAGTTTGAGACCAGCCTGGCCAACATGGTGAAACCCCATCTCTACAAAAATACAAAAATTAGCCGAGTGTGGTGGTGTGCTCCTGTAATCCCAGCTCATCGGGAGGCTGAGGCGTTAGAATTGCGTGAACCCAGGAGGCAGAGGTTGTGGTGAGCCAAGATCACACTGCCACATTCCACACTCCAGCCTGGGCGACACAGCGAGACTCCGTCTCAATAAAAAAAAGGAACATGGACAGTGGAGTCCTGATGTAAGCGTCAGTTGTATTGGTCCAGGTGCTGACAGCCAGGAGAGAGACTGCCACGTCATCCAAACACCTGGCCTCCTGGGCAGGTGGCTCCCTGTCATGGAGCTGGGTGTAGATGACTGAGAGCCTGATGCCATGAACTGTTTGGCTCTCATCACTCCCTTTGTTCCAGTTCCTTGATAACTAAATCATTTTCAGATAATCTGGCTTCCCAGTTGCTTGTCTGTAGGGATAGACTCTGTTGACCAGACTAACATTTGTAACCACGAAGATCCATAGTTAGGTTTTCATCCTACATTCATAAGCTGGTATTCTGATCTTATATATCTTGCCAGCTTATCAATAAAGATCTGGTCAATGATGGGGCCTTGGAAGGACTCCTTTCTGGGCTTACAAGGTTGAAACCTTGGATCTAGGGTCATTTTACTTTTCAGTAGCCATTAGAAGCAACTACATTTATATTTTGAAAAAACAAAAGTGATTTAATTAGCCAATATATTTTAACCTATAGTTGCTAGAAAAGTGGTAACTTTGGGGAAAAAAGGACTTTTTTTCTTATGGGTAGGGGCTGGGAAGGCAGGGAGTTGCTTTGAATGATGAGAAAGACTAGAAAATACAGGCTAGAGAGCTATAGGTATTGAGAGTGAATTCAGGGACTTTGAGGAACCTTGAGAAGAATGAGTCTAGAATTAGTGTTAAATAATACTGTTCTGGATTGAAGCTCGTATTGAATTGCTATATGATTCTTGTATCAAAAATACTGTATTCATTTTATATTTGTTATTTTTTGTGTGGAGAGGTAGCGTTGCCAGGGACGTTGGTGTCAAAGCTGATGTGGACTTCTCTGGTGTGTCACCTGTCTCTCTGAAGGCCTCTTGGTGCTTGTCCTGACAGGTGGGAGATGAGGGAGCAGGCCACTTCGTAAAGATGGTGCACAACGGGATAGAGTATGGAGACATGCAGCTGATCTGTGAGGCATACCACCTGATGAAAGACGTGCTGGGCATGGCGCAGGACGAGATGGCCCAGGTGAGGCCCTGGCACTGCCTCTGTGTCCATTCTGCAGGGAGTGCTCACTTTGCCATGGACACTGAATCTTTTCTTCATTCCTATCCCCTTGGCCATTCTGGTGGCCTGCATGGACTCAGCCTAATTTAAGGGAAACTGTTAGTAATAGGGCTATACGCTATGCTACTTAGTCACTAAGCAGAAAGTCCCCACAGAGTCTGGGTGGTTATCATCGCCACCGTTTAGCGTAACTGACCTGGTGTCAGGCACTGTGTCACTCCACATACCTGTCTCATTTACTCCACAGTTGTCCCACATGGCAGGTGCAGCAGAAGCTTTCTTTTCTCATCCAGTTGGGATTGGCATTTTGATAGTTAATCCAAAAAGTCAGTCCACGTAGGGGCACCAAAGCATTTCCCCCAACATTTTATTATGAAAACATCCAAACATGCAGCACAGAAGTTGAGAGTTTTACAGTGAACACCTGGACACACACTGCCTCCTTTCTCCCGCCCACAGCTTCCTGTACGAGCCTTATCAGTGTCTGTCCACCTCCCACCAATTTCATCTCAGTTTTTGGATACATTCAAAGTAAACTGCAGGTATCCATACTTTTGTTTTCCCTAAATACTTTAGATGAATGTATCTTTATCATGAGGTAAACATAGATTTTAACTGAAAACACAGGGAAGGACCTTCATTCACCCATCATTTTTTGTAGGGCCAAGGCCCTCTCGTTAAGTATGGTTTGCTGATGCGCTTTCTAGTCATGTCTTACCATCTAGAATTTCTAGTTTCAGTTATTTCCAATGGGAAATGATTTACAGACACTAGCAAGGCATACAGGATAGAAGCTTTCCAGGTTTTTTGTTGATTTCCTCCGAGTTTTTTATTCGTGTCATCCTCACTTATTTTGACTATTGTTTGTTCCACTGGCTTGCTGTTAATTGTTCTAAAACATTACCTTAGTTTTCTTTCACAGAAAAAACGCTTTTCTTTTTGTGTTCATTTTTAATTGGTGTATATAATATTTAATGTGTTCGCTTAGCAAACACACGAGTGCTTTACTATATGCCAGGCATGATTCTAAATGCTGGGGATATACTAGTGAAGAAAGCAAAGTGCCTGCCCTCCTGGAGCTGGGAAGACAGAGAGAAATAAACAAACAATGTCAAACTAGTTAGCGATGACTGTGAGAGTGAAGAGTAGACTGGGACGAGATCGGGTGATTGCAGAAGGCTCTGGGACGAGATCGGGTGATTGCAGAAGGCTTCTGGGGAGGCGACCGCACAGAGACATAAGTGAAGTGAGGAGCCCTTGGCTCTGAGGAGACAACACTTCTGGTGGCCAGAAATTCAGCATAACCAGGTTCAGAACAAACACAACTGACTCTGGGTTAGCATAAAACTCAACCAGCAGGAGCAGAAGTCCCCAGGCAGACGCGAGCAGAGTCTGCTGGCAACCGTGAGCACTGGTCAGCATGGACGTTGGACGAGGGGCTTCCTTGCACAGCCCTCATTCCTCTAACATGGTTCTCTCCTGTGTTCTGCACATAGGCCTTTCAGGATTGGAATAAGACAGAGCTAGACTCATTCCTGATTGAAATCACAGCCAATATACTCAAGTTCCAAGACACCGATGGCAAACACCTGCTGCCAAAGATCAGGGACAGCGCGGGGCAGAAGGGCACGGGGAAGTGGACCGCCATCTCCGCCCTGGAGTACGGCGTACCCGTCACCCTCATTGGTAATGTTATGCTTTTCACTTGGGCCCTTTCGTCCACTGTTCTGATCTTGATATCTGGAGGACTGATACAGACTGGTCTTTAGAGAATCTCTTCAGCCCTCTTCAGCTTTCAGAGTGCCTTTTGTTCTTTCTTGTGTTGAAGAAGCTGACAGTGTGAGAGAGGCTGACACTGCTCTTGATTCTCTTCTTTGTAGTTTTTATCTTATTCATACAAACGGTGAGGTAAATTCAGAAGTGACTGTCCTTCCTATCCCGTTTTATCTTTGGAATATTTTAGCATTAGTGATGTAATTGTAGTCAGTGATCTAAGATCTTATTTATGAGGCAGGTAACTTCAGTGAAATTTTTCATAGAAAAGTTCATCAATAACAGGGCCAGGCACAGTGGTTCACGCCTGTAATCCCAGCACTTTGGGAGACCGAGGCGGGTGGATCACAAGGTCAGGAGATCGAGACCATCCTGGCTAACACGATGAAACCCCGTCTCTACTAAAAGTACAAAAAATTAGCTGGGTGTGGTGGCAGGCA